TTAAGGATACTGCGAGAATCGCCCGACCATTACGCAGACTTGAACTGATAACGTTGAACTGTAAGGCAGACGCATCGTGTGGTCGGAGACCGGACAGCTTCGCACATCACTTGGATACACATGTCCCGCCACGTCTGACAGCGCAGATGTGCTACGTCCTGGTTTACAAACTTCACCAGTCTCTGCATATAATCGACACTGTGCAGCTATGTACTCACATTCATCAGGTTATAAAATGTACTGCAGGAGGTCTGTTTTCTCTATCTCACTATTGCGTTTGAATGTCATTGAAGGACGAAAATGCCGCGCGCTCCGTTCTCGATCACTTCCACGCACAGTACAATTGAATTGATCTTTAAGCATCTCTAAGCCAATTCACTTTGGTCGTTAACCCATTTGAATGTATCTAGCGATGGTGCAACACAGTGTGAGCGCACCGTCTAGGAACTGAGTTACCTCAAACCAACCGCTGACGAGATATGTGATAAGCCCCGCATAGATAGTAGGGATTGAAGGTGTACGAGAGAGACGCGTGGACATTCTAATCCCTATTTAATGACGAGTGGCTGGCTCTGATACAAGTTTCACGAACGAAAAGCGCACAAAGTTGTCAAAACGCATAAAGTGCTCCCGGGTTGGGGGTTAAGTGGGCGTTCACGAACGCATCCTTTCCACACAGCACCATAGGGAGGATGTGGCTATCATAGTAATGCGACACCCGATCAGCTATCTTAGGGCTCGTTTGGCACTGTGTTTGAACCCACAAGTTGCGCAGCCAAAGGGTTAGTATGAATTACCAACGCTTGGTCATGAAATGGGCGTAAGACTGCAAAGTTGGGTGTGTCTCGAAAATCAAGACGGTCACACATGCGTGACTGCGAATACTCCAAACCTTTGGGGTCAAAATGTTATGGCGTGCATATAAATAAAATGACAAAATGAGCCTGCGCAACTTGGAAGTTGAATACAGGTTGGATGGTGGCCTCCTTGGATACGAGAGGTGATGAGCGCCGCTCTGCTGAGAAGTCGAATGCCGGTATACAAGGCGAGTGGGTACGGTTTGGTTACCGCAGGCGTTATTTACTATTAGAGTAGCTGCAGTACACCCACTTTATGGTTCCTGAATGAAATGAGGAACTGCAGCGGGACTGTTGGTTGTTTGCATCGGCTGATTAGTAAGCAAATGCATATGTGGCTGCACATCAATTGACTGGCGGTTTGCACAGTACGGACTGATTTAGACCTAACAAAAAGGCAACTGACACGCAAGTCGTTGTGCAACAAATGGATTCGTATACCGCACCAGCTAAAGAGGTGGCAAATATCCCAACCGTGTGGTATGGTAGCACATGGGAATCACTCCATCGTTGCTTGGCAGCTTCGTCTGCCTATTGCACCACCCCCTCCGCAGCAAACCAACTTGATCCGAAGATCCAAACCACCACGTTCCGAATGCATGTAGTCGGTCAACACAGCATACAAGGGAACAAGGTCTCAATTAATGCCCATATTAGTGGAAGCGAATATGGTCGGCTGTTTATAGGGCTGCAATGTTGTAGCTCAACCTCAGGACTAAGTTCAGCGGAATCCGCATGCTGGTTTCACAAGCACATTTGATAGTTCGGTCTCCAGCCAGACACTAATTGGAAATATCAGCGACTGCAGACTGTGGGGCCAGTCGTAGCGTTGTCTTAGTGTCCAGTAAACAGGTTTCATTAAGATAACAAAGGTCATCGTCAGGGGTTTCTAAAGTGTGAACAAGTAAATAATGTAAAATGAACACCAGCCTTGAGGTGCTTTCGTAACCATAGCATTTTTCACATATCCTACATTTATAAGAACGTTGACCTGTGTTGAGAGAGAGAGGACAACGATGATCAGAGACTTGAACGTTCATCAGATTCACAGACAAAAGGGGCCAAGGCTCACTCCCATAGAACAGTACAGCCCTTACAGTGGCCTTGTATACACGTCTAGCAGACGGATGGAAACCACTTTCTCTCGCCAAAAATGTCGGAAATTCAAAAGACAGTTTTGGCTTTTGCAATGCGTGAACTGAATTCAGTTTCTATGCGCCCATCGTTGCTGATGCAGCCGCCAAGGTAAGCGAATTGATCAACCACCTTGAGTTCCTCGTTAGCAAGGGTCAAGGAGTGATCAAGTGGATGATGGTCCTGCAGCAACACTTTGCACTTTGAAGGTGTGAAGTGCATACCAAATAATGGGACCCCGCTAGACAGGCTATTCAGTTGATTGAGCCGCCGCAACATCGTCAAAAAGCAAAACGATATCGTCCGCATAATCAAGATCAAATAAACTTTCACCACTCAAGACGTCAACGCCTACATCGTGAGATTCTGTTAAGGAACACGGATTAATGGAGTACACGACAAAAATGAACAAAATGGGACAATCGGACAACTCTGACGAACGCCACTGTTTGTCGGAAAGCTATCCGACAGTTCACTGTAGACCCTGATGCGGCCTGTAGTGTTCGAGTATACAGCAAGTAGGATGTTCACATATTTCGTGGGAATACCTTTCCGCGCAAGCATTTCCAACAGAATGGATCAATCGACTGCATCGGACGCACTCTTGAAATCAAAGAACACAGCTATCGTCGGCCTGCGGTATGTGTGGCGCTACTTTAGCACCTGCCGCAGAGTAAATATATGGTCTATACAGCGACTTCCTGGGCAGAAAGCTGCCTGTTCTTACCTAATCCGAGATTCTCGTTTAACAGTGAGGCGACGAAGGGGAATCGAGGCCAACAAATTTGTCACAACTGGCGTTAGGCAAATACCCCTGTGGTTAGAACAGTCAATGCGACTGCCCTTCTTGTATATTGCCAATATGATAGATTCGCTCCAGTTAGCCAGGACACTTACTTCGAGCTAGTTCGAATAAAGAGGCCAATGCTTTGCAGAGCACCTCACCTCCATCATCAAAGAGTGAGGTGGAAGCGGATCCGGGCGAGCGGCACGAAAACAACTGAGGGCTGTGATCGCGTTTCGGACCACGGCCTCCGACGGGGGCTTTAAACTTACCGGCCATGGCTCGTGCTGCATCACCTGAGTAGGAAGAGGTGCAGGAGCACTGGCCAGCTGAACTGATAATGAACCGTTACGCCCAACGTGCCACACGGCGCTCCTTAGTGTGTATCAGTGCACCCACACTATCTACGATTGTCTCATTGACGCCGGCTTTCCTGGGACCAGCGGTGCGGATCAGCTGGAAGAGCTTGCGGTAATTGCCTAACGCCCCCGTCTCCTCCATTTCTTGAGCCCGATTGGTCCACCAGGTTTCTTTGTCAGCACGTAGGCTCCACCCAGTTGAGCTTCTGAAGAGCACAGACGCCATACTAGTGAGTTCCATCCCCTGCAACTACAAAAATATCAGAACTAGTAGCACCGTAGTAGCGCGTTCAGTTGGTGATAATATGTGTCCTTGACCGCATTTGAACTGCGGTCGGTAAGAGCATAAACGCAAGTCACAAACAAAAAGTGTTTTGCACCACTTCGTGAATCAACCATAGCTGATGTCGTCAAACAGGCTGCACATAAAAGGACGTGCACCGGAATCCAAAAAAAACCAACGATGGCTCAGCATTGGAGTTTAGAACGATACCAACACCAGCTTGCCCTTGAGTGTTGCATCGGCGTCTATGGATGCGTGCAACCACTAACGAGAGGATAAGACGGAAAAATTTAATTCACCAACACCATAAGGGACATTGACCAGAGTTTCGCGCACACTACACACATCAACACCCAGTGTGTAAAACATACATGCAAGAAACCGGTAAGTAAATCGAATACAGCGTACCTACAAACGCGGCGCCGGTTCTGTCTACGTTCTCCGCAGGACACGTCGTCACTTCGGTGGTGACCCCGAGTGGCCTCGCTCATGGCTCACTAGGCCTGTCTGACTCAGACTATCGCGAGCGCATGTGCTACAGCACCATGCGCTCGTTGTCGGCACCAGTCGCTTTCGCAATTGCCGCTTCTTCCCCGCATGTATGAAGCCTATCTCTTGCACCCCAGGCAACGGCCTTCGTCAAAAGATCGCGCCATGTACGCCGATCAACTGCTTTCAATTCCCATGTTCTGCAACCAGGATTAGAACATGACTGCCTCAATTTGATCATGTCTTGGTAAGGAAGCTTCGGATTACCCAAATTCCGCTCCCCACTACTCAGCTGACCATATAACAGTTGTTTCGGTAAAAGCATCAAATCAATACGCCACACACGATCAAGCCACCACAGATGTCTCAGCAAAAGTATACAGTCAACTGCATACATACCATTTCGGAGCCACACTTCCGTGTCCGCAACTTCCTCGCACCAACCGATGTGCAGAATCCGTCGCAACACTACTGATGGAACCGCTCGAGATATCGCACATCCCGACGGTACATCGTCCACGTTTCACTGCCGTATAGTAGAACGGACAGCACCACGAATTTGTACACTATCAGCTTCGTGCCAATGGTAAGCTGACGGTTGTTCCACACTCAGTAGTCAAGCTTCCCGAATGACGTCGCTGCCTTCGACACGCGGATACGAAGCTCACTGTGTATCTGCTGGTTAGCCGACATCACACTCTCAAGGTAGCAGAAGCAGGAGGTGGTTCCTATACCTCAGCACTAATGTTAATTTGCGGCAATATTGAAGATTGAACCTCCGGTGAAAGCTGAAAGAGACAGACAGTTTTGCTTGTGTTGATGGTGAGCCCGAATTTGGCCGCTGTCGAAGCCAGAGCACTAGTAATGTGCTGCAACTCATCCGCGCTGGGTGCAAACGAACAGTCGTCAGCAAACAGCAACATACGGATAGTTGTCTCACAGACTAAGGTTCTCGCACCGAAACGACGGATGTTCAGCAACCCACCATCAATACGGTGCTCCACACAAACACCGTAAGCACAAGCCGATACAAAAGCACAATACATCATGGCATGAAGATAGATATTAAACAGGGCAGGAGCTAAGACACAGCCTTGCTTCATACCAGAGACAATTGCAAAGTCATCCGAGGTCTCTCCACTCAGCTGCACCCTCGCTCGCATACCACTGTGCAGACACACAATTAAACTTACAAACTTACGTGGGCAACCAAACTTACCCAACACCAGCCACAATGCTTCGCGGCTCAACGTATCAAATGACTTGATGAAATCAACGAAAAGCGAGTACAATGGCTGGTGTCCTTCTCTACACTTCTCCTGCGACTGACGAGTCGAAAACACCATATATATAGCGCTGCGACCCGGACGGAATCCAAACCGCTCTTCTGCCACGTTAGGTTTCACAACCTGACTGTCGAGGCGGTTGAGCAGGATTAGGGCAATCACTTTGTCCACACAACTCAGCAACTTGACGCCACGATATTTCGTACAATATTGCTTACACCCTTTGTCTTGTAAATTGATAGCACAAGGGCATCCTTCAGTTCAGGAGGCACCACTTCCCCATTCCAAACGCGCTGCAGCAAGTGCTGCAGTGTAGTCACCATCGCGGGTCCGCCGTGTTTCAATACTTCAGGCGGGATCCCGTTGGCAACGGCACACTTGCCACCTCGCAGCTGAGCAAGGGCTCTCTCCGTCTCATCCAGTGTCCAGTAGAGAAATACGTCGAGTATATGCTTGATTTGTTTATTCGCACATTAATCATTGATTCGTAGCATTACATACCCTACCCTTGTTGCTTGATTTTGCAATTTTTCTGTTAGTAACTCGATGCACGTTGTTACATCGCCGGCATGCAAGCTGAACTGAACTGCACCCATTCGCAATAAAAGTAACAGTCAAACTAGAGATGGATACGATGGATTACGTGCACTTCTGTCCAATACGTGTTTTGCTGAGACACATAAATGACAAATGCTGTGAAGTTATGAAGGGGGAATTTACGGAAATCATCCCGATGAGAAAGCGGACATTCGGAAAAGCAACGATAGGATAGAAAACGAATGAGCAGTTACTATTGGGCTGTATTAAGAGAGCAGCATGTAAGCATGAAATGCTTCCAATCGACTACATGACCAAAAACATCGGAAAACAGCATGAACGGGCCAAAGGAGAAATGGGGCTCATTTGTTGAACAATACCACAGTTTGAAATATGTATTTCCCTTTATAATTCCAGTGAAGTGAAATCGATCTCAGCGGCAAGAGGAATAGAACAATCAGCATTAATAAACAGTCTGGTTGATGCCAACAGGGTCAGTGACATTGCCAACTAAACCACATACAAAACTAAATCAAAATTTTGCATACTCACCCATATGAACAAGTCTGATGTGTTCTTGTAAGTTGCCCTTTCGAGAAAACGATTTCTCACAATGTTCACATGTATACGGACGTTGATCTAGATTGGAAAACAGAGTGCGAATGAAGGAAGACGTTAGAATGACTGTACACAGTTTGCGAATTCAACGACGCAAGTAAAACAACACCTGCTAGTGCACGCATGACTTTGAAACACGAGGAATACAGTTGAAAAATAGTATGCGTTGGATAACACGCTGCTCCTGTCTCCCGAATACAGTGCGCCAGGCAGAAAGAAATATATCTGAGAACGACAATAGGCTTTCAGGAGTAGATTCAATCCGTGCAGCCGGACAGATGACAGACCAATGACGATGCGCTTCACAACAAGAATAGTTCAGTGTCCGATCCGAGTAGCTGCCCTGTTCGCCCACTTCCCATACACATAGACTGGGAGATCCAATCACATCCTTCATTTACTTCCAACTTTGAATCGAGAAAAACAACGCATGATGCACCACTTGTGATTGTCATGATTCACCATGCATGTTCCAATGCCAGTTAAGTATTTGAGCGAAGGTGATCGCGGCACCATTTAGGGACACTCAAACGTTTGCGCAAATATCCTTGTGGCTTCCAATGCGAAGGAGGAACGACACAAGCCACGGGATGCCGGGGGTTTTCTTTTATGAGGGCCAGCCGTTTGTGGGGGCATGTTCTGAAGACAGCGTAGGCGCCTTGGCTCTGTTTTTTAAGTGGTAATTTTAGAGGAAAATACGTCAAACGGTCGGTGGAAACTGATGTTGACACCTGAAATGATGATTGTAAGGGCGGTGCTGGTATCCTTTCAAAAGTTGAAATCCATTCACAGGAGTTCGAAAGCATTGTCCGGAATGGCTACACAGAGGTGTGAGGAAGTGTAACAGTAAAGTTTAAAGAGAACTTCCATTATTCAGCCAAACTGCATTATCATTATTATTAGTAGTAGTACCATTTAAGCAGCGGTCTACTGAGTAGTCACGATGACAAAAAAACCATGAAATCACTGGAAGAATACAGGTTTAATCACTGCATCATCCTCATGACACATTAGCTGTAGGTGAGCAATACACTACAGCTATTGTGTTGTGGAAGAAAAACGGAGGATTTTTTGTTATTTTGCAAACCTTTTTTCTCTTTTTTGCTTTTTAAGTAGTTAGGCATTATACATCTAAAACTGAACAATTTCGTATACAGGTCCTCCAGTGTTTTCGACTGCGCAACGTATTCCGAATTGTGGTTCGAGCCATCGGCACTCTACGTCCACTGGTCCGCAACCAGGCAGACATGTGCATCTAACGGTTCCAAGAGGTGAAGTCAACAATTTCATATGTTGTCGTTAGGTGGACGGCTGATCACTATATGACCACTTACATCCAAGTCCTGTGTGAGCGACAAGGGTGCAGTGGGGCGATCGCACAGCTGACATACGCAAGACCTGACCGAACCATCTTAACTACCGGAGCAAAACTAGTATGTTGAAGGGAACAGTCGCATTCCGTAAGCCATGACGTCTGGCTTCACAGTTGCAAATAGGTTGTTGCCACCACACAAAAGCAGTTCTCGTCAAGCACCCATTGTCGAAGGCCGAGAGCCGGTGAATGTTATCTACGTGAAATGGTCACGAATCGTATCCATATAACAACATCAGCTGAACAGTGGCATCGTAAACACAATTTACCAAGAGAGAGACATCCCGAAGAAGCCATGTATTTCAAGTTGACAAAGCTTTGGCGATGCGGAGAAAATTTCATTCGCAATATTGCCACTAGCAGCCACGCAGCTGTGTACCTACAACAGTGAGTACGGGAATGGGCGACTGCCAATCCTACAGCAGTACTTTACTATTTGACGGCGCGAAGCACATTTCGCACTTAGATGACTCAATCGCCAAACAGTCTAGAGGGTCTTGTATGCTCTGTGAGTCGTCACTGATTAGGGCAATATCATGAGCATAATCTAAGTTGATGGACCGCTTAGCCGGTAGTAGCCGTAGATTTTGGTAACCGTCTAGAGATCACGATAAGACGTCTTCAATTGCAAAATAGAAGAAGAATGATAACATAGGGCAGTCCCGTCGTACACCGCTACTGACAGAGAAGGACGGTGAAAACCCGCCATAGACCGTCACTCTGCCGGAGGTAGCGTGTGCATAGGATGGCAGTGTACTTTTCTGGTATCCCGCTCTCCTTAGGAAGTAATGGCATGGTCGATTTACCGAGTCGAATGAGACACGGATGTATAAGAATGGAACGACGGTAGGCCTCTAGTAAAGGTAGAAGTGTTCCAAGATTTGATGGAGAGTGAGTATTTGATTACCCATTCGAGGACATGATATCACTACTGCCAAACCCTTCATTTATATTCTTCGCTTCGGACACTTGCGTTATGAAATACGTAACGTTGCTACTTCTCACTATCGGCATAACTTTGATTGCGATTATCAAACTGTTACGCCGTACCGTTTCCGCACGTCTTCCAATTTCCGATCGCTAACATTACGATTGAAAACCTATTCTTTAGCTGACCCTTTGAACTTGAATTACAGAACCAAAGTAACAAAAAGTTCCGCTTTATTTTCTCTGCCCAGACCATGTGTAAAGTATAAGTTCACTAGTCTACAGTTTCTTTGTCCCATCTCGTGCGATTAATTAGTCAAGAATTCGTACAGTCCTTACAATAGCAAATGCCGTATTGTCGCATCTAGTAGACGCCGATCGACAAATCAATTCGCATTGACGAATGTATACAAATCTACCCTGTGCCCGGACGAGCTTGTTGTGGGCAGCGGAGGTCCTTGCAATTCGGTTACAAGACCCGGATCCGAGCATACATAAAAATATCCGCTCAAACACGTATGTTACCTTGACCATAGGCTAGCGAGACTAATGTCGGTCCCACCACTTCGCATCGACCAGACCACTCAAGGAGGTTCATCCATTAGACACTGCTTCAGTGATTCATTGTGTTTAAACCCCTTCTGTCAATTCTAGACTGCTTACTTGGGATTGCATTAGGCTGATGATGAAGCAGTGAAAACAACCTGTTCACAAGCCTTTGGTTCTGAAAACTTGAACCAGCAAAACTGCACACAGACACGCGACAGTCTTTCCCCATATATTCCGGCCACGTAGCTGTTGGTAATGATCATTTCTATCGCATCGATTATAAAACTTTGAGGGCTTAGGTGCAACCCTCTTCTGATGACCACGACATTTTCAAAGTTTACATCGTGCCATTTGTCTAGTACATGGATCACTACAGCTACATCCATCAACAGAGCACTAAACTCCAAGGCGTTTCTGGGTGGCTATGATAAGCGCCGCTTGTGTGCTGATGTTCTCGTGCTCAGTAATCTATCCATTTGGCTTATACTCAATTATGCACAAATGTAAAGGGGATTTTGTAAGCTCAGCTATTCCATATAAAGGAATGGAGTCTTTCAAGTGAACCAGCATCGACCGTAGCGTCTGGTCCAGATAACGTTACATATGGACGTTAACAACCATGTATTGAAGTGGAGAATATCAGGACAACAGGAATAGCAAGAAGCCGGAAAAGCTCCGGAGTTCATCTAGGGCTGGCATTCGGGGCAGAGCATAAATCAATGAACAACGGGGCCGTATAGAAAGCCGTGTGGGCCAAATGAGCAATTTAACACCGGTTAACAGGAAAAAGAAACCAATCGTTCGGTCAGCGTTCTACTCACTCATCCGACACAAGGAATCAATGTGGATGGGAGGAAGACAAATTATCATCCAAGGACCGGAAATAAAGTCAGTTTTGCAATAGGTGCACTGTCAACGTTAGTTAGTCCAATGATTAAAGGGCCGAACTCTGACAATAGGCCAATAATATATCCGAGGGAAGGCTATCAATATTCTTAAGGAATGAATTACTTGACTCGAAAAAATGCGTTTCAGAATAGGCTTCCAAGCACCAATTCACCATATCGTTTGCATTATGAAAACAGCGAAACAATGAACGGATAAGAAGAGCTCAACAGATTCTACCGGAGATACGAGAATAAACAAACGTTAATAGCGATTCCATCGCATACTCACCCGAGTGAACATCGTTCATGTGTCTTCGCAAATAACCTTTCTTTGAAAACGATTTTACACAGTGCACACAGGAATGGAAGCGTTGTTCTGAATCAGGGAACAGTAAGAGAATAACTACAAATGAAGCACATAATCTGTGAATAAGGAAAAGCTTAACGATGAACAATAAATAAAGTGGCCGACTATACAGGCAGTGATTACAGAAACTGCCAATTAGCATAAGAGATATAAACGAAGATAATGTGCAGATTAATGCTGGTGACAACTAATGATACCAATAATAAGGACTGGTTAAAACAATCACATTATGTATTGTCTCCAGAAATTAAAGTGCACAAAGTGGAAAGAAATCTCACTGAAACGGCAACACTTTTCAGCTGCTGTACCCAACGACAGCGTCTGTTCCGCTTGGGACCAAATCGCTAAATTGCTAAATTCGCTATGATCCATCCGCATATTCTAAATCGTCACTTCAAACGCAACAGGTTTTTTTCGTAGCATTTCGCCCTCGACATGAAGGTTATTCGGTTCAGAAATGCAATATGTGGCCACACCTGTCACAATCCCAGTGCAAGCACCACGCGGGTACCGAGATTGTGGCACAATCTCTGTTTATCCATTTGCATCTGGTCAGTACGCGATTTCAAACGTGATGAAGACTTGAGGCCTTAATGTGTAGTACGTCCGGTCTACCGCGATATAGGGCAAGGGGAAGCTGGGCACCTCCAAGGGCACAGGGTTCGTGTTACTATGAGCCTGACATAGGCTGTAAGAAAGTGAAGAACGATTAGAGTAGCAGATGGGAAGGAACCCCTTTACGAACTATAGTTTAAATGGCAGGCGACCCGTATCAGAAGCTAGGTATATATATATATATATATATATATTCTGAGTACAGATAATGTGCCATCAGAACCATGGCGAAATAAAACGGGAAACGAAATACAACATGAAGAAAACGACTTTTTCGGTTTAACAAACGTCGCTTTGGGATTTTTTTGTGTTTTGGAGTTTTATGTTCCATGAGACGTTAACTAATAGATAACACGGTTTAACAGCACTGTCTCCATTGATGCCGGTTGCGCGCCATAGCCTCCAACGTTTCTAACCACTGGAAGTATCCCCATCCTGGAAGGTGGATCCGTCCGAGGGATGCAAAGCTTGAGGTTTGCATTCCTCATGCTCCTTCTCCACATCATTGGCTGTCCACCGCGGCACTTTCCAATCGCTTCCGGGGAGCGCAGATAACGCTGCACGTGGAAGGCGATAGGCCGGCATGCGCAATACGTGGCCGAGCCAACGCATGCGGTGTTAGAGAAAAACGTTGTGAAGACTGGCACTACTCGCTTCAAGCACTCGGTCTCGGACCTCTGCATTGCGTATATGGTGTTGCCACCACACCCAAGCAATCCTACGTAAAAAGCGATTGTCGAAGACTAACAACCGCTTCATGTCTTCTGAGCGAATAGGCCAAGTCCCACAGCCGTACAAGAGTACTGCACGGACGGAAGCATTGTACACCCTGTCCTTGAGCTTGAGACTGACATCACGACGACGCCATAGGTGTCTCAGTTTGATGAATGCAAGGTGGGCTTTTGCAATCCGTTGTGAGCCTTCTGACTTCTGTAACACCGCCACCAGCCGTGATGCAACCCCCTAGATAAGTAAAGCAAGGGACTTACTCCAGAACATGTTGAGCAATGGTGAGCGCGTGTTCAGGCACCTACCAATGGTGGAGTAGCGTTTTACATTTGCCCGGTATGAAGTATAAGCCGTACTTAGATGCCTCCATCGCCAAGCAGTCCAAAGCGCTCTGAACGGTTTGTGGTCCGTCCCCTAGCAAGGCGATATCATCCGCGTAGTCCAAGTCCGTGACTCCGTCTCCAGGGAGGAGCTCAACACCGTAGTTCTGGACACCTTCCAGTGCTTCTTGGACGACATCTTCGAAGGCAACATTGAAGAATAAAGGTGAAATAGGGCAACCTTGGCGAACACCGCTGGTCACAGCAAATAAGGCAGAAATCGTACCGTAACCCTTCACTTTGCCCAATGGGGCTGCGCTGGTTAGTTAAAATACAGAGCAAAGTGCACTGATCAGTGATCCAAACACCTGAAGAAATTGGTGATTTTCGTGCCGTCCGATTCACAAATTTTCCGACTGATAGCATGGGAACAGCAAACCAGTGGCCTTGATGAGGTAAAAGAAACTGCGGAAGTATCCACCCCATGCAGCGGCTTCATTCCAAGCAACTGGTTTACACCTCCAGGTTTCATGATAAGAGCGGAGGCTTGACTTCAGCAAGAAAAGAGATAGACTGACGGAGTTCATGCTGTTCCGCACCTACGGATACAGCTCGTCGACGATCTAAAGCGTCAGAGGATATTGCCGAAATCCAGCTTGTGGTTGTGCAGCGAGTTAGACCGCAGATGGACAAGCCGGCGAACAGCATGGTTTGTTCCAAACTTGGGCAATGTTGATCAACAACCAGGGAAGGAAGAGAGGGAGATTTTCACGAAGCCTTGGTTGATACGGGGTTTCCACCACTAGGTCCTATAAAGTTAAGTATTCGATCGAGTTTACTACATATATATGGTCGGCGACATCCGGTTTAGGATTTGTTTTTCACTGTGGCCAGCCACAGGACGCCTGCGCCTACAGAGGGACCATTGCTGGCTTGCGCTGCACCACCCACAGCTCCATCCACACACCCCATATCCAGTGTAAACCCGAAGGAATAAGACCGGATGGCATGTGGATGGGAGCCAGGTTTCATCAATGGAGCCGGCCCACACTCCTTCACAGGCAAACACAATCACGCTGTAGTTGGGGAATCAAGCGCATACAAGGCGGTGGCTGGACCGTAGTCCGCTCCACATTGAGTGCATTTATCTCACGATACAGCCGTTGAGGTGATGCCTTGTGAAAAGCTAGCTGATGTTGATTATGCCTATGATATTCTTTTTTACAATGGGGCGACCTAGTCAACCCTAAATAACCTCTTTAGAGCGGTCCTATCAAGTGTTCACGTTGGTGGACGAGTAAGTAGCTGCACATATAATCCCTTTTGATTAAAATGTAAACAAATACCCCAACTTTTCAGCAAGTGATTTCTCCAGATTGTCCATCAAGTACATCACAAATTTCCGTAGAGCACATATAAAGCAACGCCATCAAGCATTGCTAAATTGATACTCAAGGACACACAGGCTTACTCAATGTATAACGAAGGAACGCATACCAAGGCAATAGAAATTACGCATTCAATTTCACGTACATGGTTTTGCTTCGTTTAGGTCGTCCCGTTGGAAAGCATGACTCGTCTTGTGTATATCTACTATTCCAATTGCGTACTCACTATTGGCTGTAGGAAGTTCATGCCGGATCAAAAAGCCTGATAGCACCTGTCATACAACAGCTGGGAATCTTAAAAGTAACGGTCTCGCAACATATGGGAGACGTACACTTGAAAAATTTAGTTGTGTTTTGTGACGCCCCCTCAAAAAATCCATGAACAGAAGGACATCCCGGTTGCGGGGGTTGTCACAAATGGTTCTGATGCCGTGTCGACGTCAACTGCAAAGCGACTTTTTCGTTGGTTACCGTCATCAGTACAAGAATTCGTCCTTCGGATCCCAGACCGGTCGCATGCGAACTGACATGGCTACTGCTCTTCCTACTGATTACATGCATGTTGTGTGCTCAGGAGAGTTGCGTAGCATGATAGACATGTGGATGGATGGGTCTGCGAAGCGATTATGCCGTTTGCAAAAAATCAGCTATACAAGCGTTGTATGCGCTGATGTTTCATAATCAGCCACCGGCGCCTATTAATTTCATCCGGTGTTGTGGCGGAATACACCTGTTCCGATAGTTGCTGCTGTCCACAGACCCGAGTAAGTTCCCTGACCTGTTTTAACAGATTATCATGCGTGTATTCTGGATTTGCACCTGGGAATCTATTGGATCGGTTACCCCAACTATGAAAAATCCCACGTCGAATGGGCTCATAGAGTGCCTTGTGTGTGCATCTAAGAGTTCAGCAACCTTTACGGTTCTGACGAAGTGATCTTCAACGTTTACATCTTGATACATTTGGAAAACGATGAACATTTACAATTCACTGGACTGGTTCTCCGAGTTTCCTTTCGAATCTCATAGGCATGTTTAAAAGACATGGAGACACTGCAGCACGCTTGGCAGAATGAGGACATAAACTGTTACCACGCGAAACACTTTCTCCGGAACGCACAACACCGCATATCAACGGTATACAATTATCTTCAATGTAACTCACGTAAGCGATAATTGCTGCTTCAATCGCGGTTTACTGAGTCAAGTATTGATACCAAGCGCTCAAGCGTTACCCTCAGCCATACCTCAGCAGAACCGGGCCTCCTTAGGTGACTGGGGACAGGACATGTTTCCATGCAACAACAACAGTGTTGAATAGTTCCGGAAAATTGCGCAATTATTTTCTTCTTACACACCATTGCTGATAAAACGAATTTCGTTGATATTTGACATAAAGCGGAATAACGGGCTGGCCCCAGTTAGTGCAATCGCGGCACATTCAGCGACAACGCACTCATCGCAAGTTTTATCGTGTACAACATAGAATAACGAGTTATGTTTCCTCATTAGCTGTTTGCAACGGTAGAACACTTTGACACAAAGTACCCATTTTGGGCTTGCGCAATAGCAGGTAAAGATTCTGGCTGCAGGAAACACAAAAAGTGAAGGGTTGTACGCGGCTTTTCGGGTAAGTAAACTTAATCATAATTCGATAAAATCGAGCATCATTCGACTTGATTAGAAGATATAGATACTGAGTTCGAGTTACGTATGACAGTGGGGTACAATAGTTAGAGCAGTAAATCAACGAGGAAAGCAAGAAGTAAGCTACCGAAAAGTAACAAGAAATGACAACTGAAGCGTCTGGCTAGTTCAATTCATTTCGGTTAAGCAACTATGATCTGGGCACCAAAGTGCAGTGAATCCAGTTGCCCAGACACACGTTGTCAGATAACAATGAATCATGATGGTAAGAAGAGTAGGTTAAATGCAAATAGAATAAAAAGTGGAATCA